GTCTTTTCTGGTGGAAGTAAAAAACCTTGGTGTTGAGAGATGGAATGAATGCATAGTGGGCTACTTTTTGGATAAAACAGGCTAGTTGGAGAAGGGATTGGAGGAGTTCTAAGAGTTGTTCTTTTGGGCAAGGGCATTGTGGGTAGGTGAGGAAAGCATTATTGGCATAGAAACGGAAAGAGGCTTGGCGAGGCATTTTGTAGAGATAAACAGTAAACTCACACCGGCCGTACAAGGGCGTTAGTTAAAAAACCTGGTGTGAGTGGTGTGACTTGGGGGGGGGGAGGGGGCTGGTGCTGATCTGGACCGTCCATTATTGTACTTGTGGACATGAGTATGGATGGGGTTAAAAGGAAGTCACACCCGGGGCCCAAGTGCGAGTGATGTGAGTACTTTTGATTCCTTTCCCGGATAGTGCTATACACGTGTCATGTTTCTGGTGGTTTACGTGGTTGTAAAGTAAAGATATTTTCAGAATGATTGATATAAAGCAGATGAGGGAAAATGATTATGCTTTTGAATTATTTTGAATGGAGAATCTTCGTCCTTACACGTGGGCCTTCTCATGGGTTTGTGGAAGGAGAAGATGTTTTGGAGGATTCCAATGCTGAAGTAATTCGCTCAGATGATTGAAAATGATCAGTTGCAGGAATTGAAGCCTAAAGTTGAGGGGGCGGTGTGCCTAAACGTGGGGCTGAAGTTTGGTTCTTGGAATATTAGGGGTCTCTTAATGACCCTGTTAAGCAGCAAGGTGTTAAATCCTTGATTCTTGATCATCAATTAGATTTGTTGGGTACAGTGGAGACCAAAATTCGGTCTGCGAACTTGGATACTACTATTAGTCATTGTGTTCCTTGTCATTAGGTAAATGCTCATAATATGGGATCTCTTCCTATTGCTAGAGTAATTTTGGCTTGGAACCTGATAAGTTTCTGAATTCATGAAGTCTGACCAAGTCGTTATTGTTTTGAATTAGAGTTTAGTTAGTAAAAAACTTAGTTATGTGACTATTGTCTATGGTTTTAAGAACATTGTCTATGTGACTATTGCCTATTGTGGATCGGAGACGATTGCCGTCTGAGCTACGATATTTACATGTTTGTTTTCGGGACAATGCTTGGATAACTTTGGGTGATTTTAATACCGAACTGAGGGATTTGAAGCTGTTGCTGATGTTGATTTTAATATATGTATCGTGGCTATTGAAGTGGAAGAACTGGCTGCTAAAGGGTGCTGGTTTACTTGGTCAAATAAAAGGGGTGGCTCGGGTCATAATAAAAGTAGGATTTTAGGGCTTTGGTGAATATGGCTTGGATGGATCAATTTCCTACTTGTGAAGCTGTTATGCATGTTCCAGGTATTTCAGATCATTGCCCTATCACTGTGATTGTTTTTTGTATGATCCAAATAGAAGGAAACCCTCTAAATTCTTTGATTTTTAAATGAGACACTGGAGTTTTCCTTCTTTACTTGCTAGTTCATTGGTTGGCTGATGTGGCTGGTTCTCCTATGGCTAGACTATATCTCAAATTGAAACAGTTGAAGCCTGTTCTTAAAAATTTAAATAACGGGGCATATTCTCAAATAGATAAGAAAGGGTTGGAAGTTAAAACCTTCTTTGCACATACCTTGAATTGCTGGTTGTTCAAGAGTCCTTTAGAAAACAAAAGGCTCGGGTAAAATGGCTTGCTTTGGGGGATCAAAATTCCAAGTCTTTTCATCACAAAGTTAATATTTATAGGATGCAAAACAGGATTCTAAGTTTGGTTGGTGCTTCTGGATGATCCCAAAGAGATTAAGCATGGCATCATTGATTTTTATAAGAATCTTTTTTGGGTACTCCTTTTGAGCAAAAAAAGGATGCTAGAAGTTGCTTGGCTACAGTTGTTCAGTCTAAAGTTCCTAATGAACTGGCTTAGTTCAGACTGTCTGTGATGAAGAAATAAGGGCTGCTTTGTTTTCAATCAACGGGGATAAAGCCCCATGACCTGATGGGTATAATGCTGTTTTTTTTTTTTTAACAGAAAAATTGGGATGTTGTTGGAGGGGATTTAGTTTTAGCAATTCAGAGTTTTATAAGGTTTTTCCTTATGTGGTTGGTGTGGCCCAATCAGCTTTTATTAAAGGCAGGAAGTTGTGAAGAACTATCTTAGAGATGATGGTATGCCTCGATGTGCTATTCAAATTGACATCATGAAGGCATATGATTCAGTTGCTTGGAATTTTTTATTTGATACTTTGGTGGCCATGGGGTTTCCTGAGGTGTTTGTGGATTGGATCAGGCAGTGTGTAATGTTTTCTGTTGTGAGGCTTGAAACATCATATTTGGCTTTTGCTAATGATTTATTCATCCTTTGTGGTGCCGATGAGAATTATTTTCAGTTAATTCAGGATACTTTGCAGGAATTATTCTATATGTCAGGGTGGAAGCCTAACCTTCAGAAGTCTGCTATATTTTTTGCTGGGGTTTCTGAGACTATGACTGTTAGTTTAAAAAATATCTTAACAATTCCTGAAGGGCATTTCCCTACTAAGTATTTGGGAGTCCCTCTTGTATCTACAAGGTTAACCTCCCAGGACTGTGAATTGTTGAAGTCCAAAATATTAGGTAGAGTTAAGAGTTGGACCACTAAATATGTCTATCATATAGGGGCCAAGTACAACTTGTAATCTCCATTTTATTCAGCATTCAAGTATACTGGAGTTCTATATTTCTATTGCCAAAGACTGCATTGTGTAGTATTGACAAACTTCTGAAGAATTTTTTGCGGACAGGGAGTGAGTTAAGGTACTACAGTGCAAAAGTGAAGTGGATGCATATTTGTGCACCAAAGGCTGAAGAGGGCTTGGGATTCAGAAATTTGAGAGAGTGGAATAAGGCCACTATGCTAAGACAACCTTTGTGGGCTTTAAGTAAGAAAGCTGATTCTTTGTGGGTTAAGTGGGTCCATACTTGTGTAATTAAGGGTAAGTGTCTTCCTACTGAGGCATCTTGGACTGTCAGGAAGTTTTTTGAACTAAGAGCTGTGGGGCAGCCTTTGATCAATATATCATTGGTGATGGGACTGTTACATTTCCGCGATTTGATAATTGGCATCCCTTGGGTCCTTTGAATAAGAAATATGGGGAAAGGGTTGCTTTTCATATGGGCATGGCTGTGAATAGCAGAGTTTCCTCTTATCATTAATTTTGGGAATTGGAAGTGGCCTAGAGGTAGAAGAGTGGTTATTACTGAGATTAAAGCTAATACCCCTGCTAGCTTCGTATCGAATCCTAATAGGCCTGACTCAGTGTTTTGGCTACCCTCTAGTAATGGTGAATAGCTTGGCAAGCAATTCAAACACTATACCCTATCGTCCCTTGACATAAATTGGCATGGTTGCCTCAAAATGTTCCTAAGTGGAGCTTTGTGTAATGGGTTGCTGTTCAGAGAGGACTGGCTACAATGGATAGGTTGTTTAAGTGGGGGATTGTTTCTGAAAACAAGTGTGTATTGTGCAATGGGTTTGATCACGATCATTTATTTTTTTGTTAATATTTTTCAGCATATACTTGGACTGTTCTTTTGAGGAGAATTCTTCCTGGTAGAAGAATGCTTGACTTTTGCTGAAGAGTGTGGAGGTAAGGCTATTACAGATTATGTTTACAGGTTGACCCTTGCTGGTACTATGTATCATGTTTGGAAGGGAAAGGAGTCAAGAAGATAGAAATGGGTGTTATTAGAGCTAATCTTAGCTCATTAAGGAATGTAAAATTTTGTCCTAGTGCTAGAAATAGGAGTTGTGTCATGTGAAGTTTGTTTTATTTCAAACCATCCCCAGCCCTTCCCATCAATGTTACAGGAAGGACTTGAGAAAGCTCCTCTTGGAGATTTAACTTCTCTCTAGTGCAAGCAGTTAACTTCTTTTTCAAGCTCTCAATCTCCTGCTCCAAGCCAGCTGTCCTAATGGGGGGGATAAATTCACAATGCATTCTTATTTCCAATTTGAAAAGATAATGCCAACGCATACCTACCAAAAAAAATATTAATGATAACAACTTCATCTGATGGACTTGAGATAAATAATATACCTCTGAAAATGCATTCGAGTAGCCACAGCAAGGTAACCAGGACCAGCTTGCTGCATACACAGTTGTTCAATGTCTTTACGTAACTCATCACGCCAACCGGAGAGTGCTTTTTCAAGAAAAGAAGTGAATAAGGATCTGTATAATACTCACAGGGGAGGAATTTTGAAAACACATTAAAGAGGAAAATCTCTTCAGAAACTATAACTAATTAATTCATTAAAAAGAGAAAGACAGAGATGCTCAACTGATTCAAGGTGGCAATTTCTAATCATCCAAAACAATATGTTCAAACTTTTATAAATCAAGAAATGAACAGTCATTTCCTTTTGGATCTCACCCCCAAACCCAAACCCAAAAGAGAGAGAGAGAGAGAGAGAGAGAGAGCAAAGACTAAAAATGAACAGTTATCTGATGTTTACAACCTTCAACTAGACTATAGAAGAAAATCTCAAAGCCGTCATCAAATGAAAAGGGGCTAAAAATGAGCCCCAAATCCTTCATCAAATCAAATAAATGATAAATCAAATTTACAAAGGTCATATTTTTTACTCAAATCTGATGAAATTTTACAAGGAGCAATGATTGGTTAACAGGTCATTTTGTGATGAGCTCTTGACATCAACTGAAAAGGGGCTAAAAATGAGCCCCAAATCCTTCATCAAATCAAATAAATGATAAATCAAATTTGCAAAGGTCATATTTTTTACTCAAATCTGATGAAATTTTACAAGGAGCAATGATTGGTTAACAGGTCATTTTGTGATGAGCTCTTGAATTTTTCAAAAGATCTTAAACTTTTTTAACCAAAGTTTCACTCAAATTTGACCGAGAGAGAGAGAGAGAGAGAGAGAGAGAGAGAGAGAGAGTAGTGGACATGGCATGACCAAATTAAGAGTACCTTGAAACCCACATAAGAGAAGGAGCATAACCTGGAAACAGAGGGGTAGACACTGATCCTGGTTTCGCTTGCGCAAGGCCGATCCAACACCTCCGGCCTCTTCTCTTCCCTCCTTTCACTACTCGGCATTTCTTCACTCTTACCAAAAAGCCCCAATTTACCTAACCCACAAATCAAAAACAAGAAGAAATGAGCCTAAAAAACAATTTTGAAATCAACACAACCCATCTCTCAGTTCAAATCAAAATATACATGTATGTATACCTTGGTGGGGTGAAATTGGTTCACCATGTGTTCCTCTTAACCGATTGGATCGTCGAAATCGAATGTGATCAGATGTTGCGATTGAGTCATCGATTAATCGATTCAACCGAGCAGAACGGCGCTGAGGAGTGCTTCCATAATCGACTTTTTGGTATTTCCTGACATGACTCTTCTTCATGGATCGAAGCTCTGAGATCGTCTTTCGCGATCCCATCGATGCCAATCGAGCCTGTTCTTCATTTCATATCAACAATCGCACAATCAAAATGCAGAGAAACCCCAAAAAAGTGATATATATCTATATATATATATAGAGAGAGAGAGAGAGAGAGAGAGAGAGAGGGACTTGGTTGTGGAGAATTTGAGCAGTTCTGATGGCTTCATAGTGGTTCTTTGATTTAAGCCTTCCCATTGTTTCTTTTTCGAATGAAATCAACTGACTTACTATGATCTGCTTGAAATGTTGGAGTTGGATTTGTAACGGCTATAAAAATAAAAAAAGTTTGAATTTTCTAATGGTCCGTTAGGCGAATCTCACAGCAACCATCAGTCTTTGGGATTATGACAGCTACACCACGACCGTCCATGTGTGAATCTTCTTTCTTCCTCGTACAAAAATAAGTAACCCCCTGATGTAATTAGATGGCTCAGATGAGAGGTGAGGGTCTAAACCCCTCGGATTGCACCGTTATTATTTGTTTGTTGTTTCTTTTAAGTCATGGTTGGCTAGGCGATTTAAGGATTGGTTTGGGATGTTTTAAAAAAGTATATTTTTTAATTTATTGACTTATATGGAATGGATTTGGGTTGGATTTGATGTGATGTGTTAGAGAGGTGGTGTGATTTAAATAAGATGATGCGACTTAAATAGGATAGTGACTTTTTGTATTATTTAGTTTATGCCAAACCAACCCTTAATAAGGAAAAAACGAGAAGAAGTGTTAAATTAGTTAAAATGTGAATATATTTTATTTATATTTTATTTATTTATTTATTATATTTTTTCAATTTTTTTTTTCAAAATTTTCAACTAAGGCCTCGTTTGGGAACATGCTATTTTAGTAATTTTTTGACTTTTTACGAAAAGATGTGCAGAAAAGTAGAGAGGTGATGTGACAACTTTTAGTAATTTTTTGACTTTTTAGCTAAAATAGTCACTCCCCAAACGAGGCCTAAATACAGTATTTAGTTTTTCTTTTTACTGTTTTGAACATTTCCAAATTACCTGAAAATAAATAAATATTGTGCAATGGACACTTAAATCATAGTGAACCAATTTCATATTTTTTTTTTTTTGGGTAAAATACAAACACATACCTTAAGAATGAATATATTTGGGAATAGATAGAAATAATATTGATAGAAGACAAGTTGAGAGAGAATAGATTGTGATGGTTTAGTCATATACAATAAAGACCAACAGAAGCAGTAATGAAAAGATACGATACAGTGATGGTAGATGGTAGTGTTGAAGAAGAAGTAGACCTAGATTGACGTGGATTAGTGTAGTAAATAGAGATATAAATATCCTTAATTTGACTAACGAAATAGCCTTAGATAGAGTCGAGTAGAGAAGAATGATTCTTGTTGCCAACCTCCATTTTATGAGACTAAGGCTTGATTTGGTTTGGTTTAATAAAAAAAAAAAATTTAATTTATTTTTCTACCAACAGTCACCTACGAGATTTGATGAAAGGTTAAACACTCATTTAATTTGATGAAAAAAGTTGGACTCCATTTATTTAATACCAATTTGGTGAAATGGTTGGAACATCGTTTTCACCAAATTTTTATCAAATTTAAATTTGATGAAAGATTTGAGTTTGGATTAGAGATGATCTAAGTGATTTTTTGGTCAATTTTGATACGACAAATTATATTCTATTGAATAAGATAAAAATAAACCGAGCCTCAATATTTGGTTGTTAATCAAATGTACCTGCATGGTTGGAAAGAAAAATGAGTTTGTGATTGTAAAAATCAAGGCTTAATCGTAATTGTAAAAGGGTTGGTTACTATAAAGGCAATAGAAGAACAAGAGAAAATAATTGAAAGTCATACCAATTTTAAAAAGTGTCGATGCCCATTTGTGTATTAAGGGGCAAAAAATTGCCCACAAATGATGATTAAATATTACATGTCTTGTGTAGAGTGCACAATTATCCGACATTTTGAAATCTTAGGAGAAAATATCATTGTCAGTTGATATGTCAAAGAATATAGCGCAACCAAAAAAGATATTTGTTATTTTGAAATAAAGAAATGCCTTAAATTTAATGACAATGAAGACAATCTATAACACTCATCATTCGTACAAAGTGGTATAGAAAACTGTGAGATCAAATATGCCACAACTTTTGGAGCAATTGTTGGTGTATATAAGTATATTAATACAAGTAAAATCATACGGAGAGACTGTCACTGACTTGTTTTGGGCATAACTTTTTAGTTTGGACTTGTTACATGTATTTTCACATGTGTTGATCATGGATTGCTCTACAAGATCAACAAGTATTGCTTGCTTCTCTTAGAGTGACACCCACTGACGTGAACTTTCAATTGCTTTTATACATTAAAGTGTATGAGCGAGAGGATAACTATGCACAAGCTTTAGGTATATTGTATACTACTATGGATAAGAGTCCTTTTACGGAAATCATTGTTACAACAGACAGTTGGCTTTGATAAATTCCATTTCGAGACATTTCTTATGGCCACACACATCTTCTATGTAGCATATTCGTAGAAATGTCACTAAAGAAATGGAACAAGTTCACACAAAATTAAAATGTTTTGATTTTATCAAGAATTGAGGATGAGTACTATTAATAGATTAGCAATATTCATAAGGATTCCAGTACATACCTTGAGACAATTAAGCATGTCACTACCAATTAGTTGAACCCATTGAGGAAAAGATTTTTGTAGTTTGGACAAACACTATTAAGGCTAGATCATGAATTTGAACAAAAAAAGACAAAAAAAAAGTAGGAAATTTCCAAATCTTTATCAAAATTCATGATCCAAACACAACTTTCAATCTTTGCATAATTTAAAGGAGTATCTCAACAAGATGCAACTAGAAAAGAAATCATGTGCAGAAATAACAGACTTCCATGGATAAAAGAATTGAGAGTTGAAGATTGATGGTACAATGTTCCATCTTGGCATATATTTACTAGATCTTTGGCTAATCCAAAGGGAAAAACTCCCAATGACAGAACATGAACATCATGTAGACTTAGAAAACACCAAAGGATGAAGAAAGAAAAAGAACAAGGACTTCTACTAATAAAAGAATTGGGGTTGTAAATTGTACATCTTCACCAAGTTCTATTTTCCGAATCTCCAACAAACAACTTTTAAGTTAGCCTTGATTGCCTTTGCTCTCAAGGGTAAATATTCAGTAGTTCTAGTATTGGTTATGCATCTGTTGGTTTTTTTGGCTTTCGAAGGTTAGAATTGTAATTTGAGCTTGCTAGCAAGGATCAATAAGTCCTTACAAAAATTAATAAATGCCAACCAATTAGTCAGGCGATTACTTTGAAGTTCTTTCAGCCTCAATGAAGAGGACTTCATTGGTGGCTTAGTTTTTAGGAGAAAATTAAGAAGACTAAGTGAAATAAAAGAAAGAGAGAACAACAGTGTCAGAAATCAATCTTTCATTAAGTAAACAGAAGTTTACAATTGTACCTCTACACTTTCACAGCTTCAAAGGGGATTATAGTAACAGACTAACTTAGAATTACTCCTAGAAATTTGAAGTGTTTATCAACAGTCCTTCTATTTATAGGCTCTGAAAATAGCCCTCGAAGTAGGTGATAACTGTCGAAATGATCTCCATGATCACTGAGTGGGGCCTTGAACAGTTCGCTTCTACTCTTCCACTCTCATGGTTGCGTTTCCCTCATGAATTTGATTTTAAACTATAAGCAACCATTTGACCACGTCACATTGAGTATCCTGACTGTTCCCATATGTTGCGAATCCATTGCCACTACTATAAGTTGCCACACGTCTGTTGATGATTGGAGACCATTACTTATTCTCCAAATTGCCCTTTATGATCCACGTGTCAAGTTGTGATAGGTTTGCACGAAATATACAGCCAACATTACCCCTCGCACTAATATAGCCAATACTTGGTAATATTAGTGGATCAATGCGCTTTGCCCACGTCCTAGGACATGCATGGAATTTATTTATCTTAGAAGTGTGACTGTCTCCAAGCAATGAAACACTGAACTTCATTAAATTCTCCCTTGTGCTTGAACACTACCTCCACTATCTATGTAAACAAAGGGACTGATACATCTCTGATGGCTAATGGCTAATCAAACCCTCTCTTTCATTGATCAAGCATATGAAGAGGTTTTGGACAATGATGATCAATCTCGAAAGAACTTCCATGTATTTATTAGCCATATTTATTCTCCTCCATTTATACAAGTTATGGAGGCTTTCGCAAAATATGAGCCTTTAGACCAAAAACTTGCCCAAGTGGATCTTGGAAGTTCTTCATCTGCTCAAAAACCTTCTACATGGGATAAAGCTGTCTTATCTTCTACTAGAAATACTGGTTGGAATGCTTGGCCAACACCAACCTAACCTCAAACAAGGGAGCGAATTCGTCACAAATTTGTTGAATTTGATGACCCCATTGCAATTCCTCCCTCTTCGCGTAGCTTTGTGGTATATCCCTCTATCCTATTCGACCGTCTTTGCTGTCTCGAAGACAACTTGCTTTCGGCATGGTATACTACTTCCTTGTCAACCAAAATAGTGCGAAAGACCACTTACCCCATTGAGGCTTTGGGAATGAGCCCCTCACTTTTGGCTAAAAGATCAAAATTTTGTTTTTCTAACTGGCTAGAGTGTGTAAATGAACCTTAGTTTCCACCTTCTTTTGGAGAGGACCCCACTGCTCTTTCTCTTCCTCCCAATCCTAATTGAATAGAGGAATTGAAACTTACCCTCTTCGAAAGCCAGCATTTTGCTCTCTATCAGGTTTCAGTTCCTCTAATTGCTTATTAGCAGTATAAAGCCTAGACCCTGCTTGCTACATTTTCTCATTTATCTTTTGAAGCCCTTCAAGATGACCCTCTGTAGACACCTTATTTTGATTGCCCTTAAGACTTGGGTATGTCATGTTGAACACTCGATGATGAAATGTTACACTGTACAAATCATTCAAATTCTTCAACAAAAAGCTTTGGTTTTCAAGCTTCAGAACTTAAACTTTGCACCCCCTTTGAACCAAAAACTGTTGGGCAACAAGTGGCTGGTAGGCCATTTTTGGTTGGCCGATCGTCCCTCTCCATGGCTGGCTGGCCATGTTTAGTGTCAGACATATATTTTGCAGCCAGCTATCCCCCCCAGTGCATGTCTTGCACCAACTGGCTTATTACAAATATTTCTGATGTGAGATAATGTTTTTCTATAAATAGATGACCACCCCTCATGCTTTGGGGTTAGAAAATTTTGGCCAAAACCAAAAACTTGTCCAACACACTTTCTCTCACTCTTGCATTACACGTACACTATCCATACACTTCATACAAAACTTGAGGCTTCTTGCTGAGATTCTTGACCCTAAATTTA